TCAATGTCTTTGAACTCTAGTACATTCAAAATGATTAAACTAGGAACAGGTTTAACTTATTTGAAATTCGCGTTCACGGCTTTCGGTCGTAAAGTCAGATTTTGTCTACCAAATTTTGTGACAGAGTCATGGGAGTCGGGTTAATGACTCAAGACAACGTTTGATGAGATAAATGTTCTCCATCTACGACAGGGTTAAATTTTGTTTTACTTTGGGACTTTTGCAGAGTAATATGCAACGCATAATGTGTATTAACCAAGGAATTTGCAGCCAGAAGGGAAATATTTTTAGCTAGCACTCGCCAACCTCTTTGTTAGCCAACTCCAGAAGGCTAGTTGCCTCCTGAATGAGTATTGCTTTGTTCGAACAACAAAACATACAAATCCTATCGGATTTAAGCTTTGAACACCTTTTATAGGGAGTGGGATATAAGCGATTACATATCATATGGAACCACTTCATACATTCATCACAATGTATTCCTTTCACAGAGAATAAGCAATAAGGCTGTCCACATTTTTGATTAGAGCCAATAATCTTAAAAATCAACCAAAAAAAGTAACACGAAGATGGGTATGTGAAAAAATTTCAAACTTTAAACGAATAAACCAGGTCAAAATCGACGGAGTATGACTTGATGCAATAAATGCACGAAAGTAAAGTCAGTACACAGGAGTACAATATCCCTCCAACTGGAATAAATTCAATTAGAGTGGGAACAGTGGTTACGATGCGTAATTCAGCATCAAAACAGTGAATTTAACTCAAGGAGGAATAATACAACTTTTATTTTTAAATGGCGCGCTCAATTTAAATGCAATTGAGTCATTTCAATAATATAACCAAACCCATTGAAGTAATTTTTGTCGTAGTTGGAAAGTACTGTGAAACAATAGGAAGCACGCGCTTTGCGGTTTGAACCAACTCACCAGCAACATATTGGATATTGGATGTCATGGGAATTGGCATTGGGCTCAAGGTCTGGGCGCGGTGTTTCGGAGCTTAGACGTGTGGTGATACACGAGGCTACTTTTACACAAACAAGCTTTGAGTTTTTGGCTTCTACTTGGAAGTCGTACGGTATGGCTTTTTTGTGTGTTGAACTATTCTCAGTTGTGCAATATTTTCGGCTAGCCTAACGAAATTATATTTAGTTGATTGTACGCGGTCGACAACAGTATTTGTTTTAATAGTCTTTGTAAAACTACTAACCCTTGTCGTCTTGCCTTCGTGTTTGCACACCCATTTTCACACAGTTACTCATCGACTAGAACTAGTAAGCTAGGTCTTTCGGTTCACGATCCGGTTGCCTTAAACGCGAATTACTGAGCTCCGATCAATGGCGCTAACAAATCCATTCATAAAAATACTTAGTCCGAGAGTTATGAAGAATCAGGATATCAATAGGCCCTCGAATCGTCATACGTTCCCTTTTTTCCTGTTGTAGTGAGTTCTCATATTCTATAAAATAAATTCCTCTAATATTCCTTCAGCATTGCTCGTCACTTACTGTTGTCGACACGTTTTACGTAGTTGCTTAATTGTCTCACTGAATCATCTATTTTTCCCTAAGTTTTAAATAATATACCTACCTTTCCCTACAGCCATTTTCGGTTTTCTGTTGTTGTTGCCACTCATTATTGTCTTATTGCTATAGGATTTAGTGCCTTAATTATGACCTTTATGGCCACTGCTTCGTATTAGGCCCTACGTTACATGTCTGTGAGACTATAATTTATGGACGACTTTTGAGCAGCGCGGAAGTGACCATTAGAATGGACACCTACTCATTAGGACTTAATGGGGGTTATAAAGCAGTTAGAATTCTCATTTACAATTGATGGTTAGGGTTGAAAAATATATTAAGGGTTCTCATCACGAACTGACATCGGCTATAATGCCAAGATTCTATTTAGCCAAATGTATGGGTGGATTTCGCCCCAAAATTTGTGACTCGTTATTTTATATTTGATTGGTTCGTCGATAAATTATAGTCTCGCCGTAGCAGTGGTTGGAGATCCTGTCTGTAAGATTGGAAGATCAATAAAGGAAGCATATATCCACTTAATATCCATCCATTTTTTACGTGTATTCCCGTTTAATGTTGCACTTTTATTACGTTATGCCTAGTCAGTCAAGACTATAATTTACTGACGACCTTTGAGCGACGCCAGTGACCTTGACAATTTAGCAACCCAGGATTGAGTGATGTCTATAATTTAGTATGAGGAATTAGGATTAAGAAGTAGTTAGGGTTTTCATCACGAACTGACATCAGCTATAATGCCAGTGCTATTTGGCCGTATGAATAAATACATTTATTACTATTATTATTATTACTATTATTAGCTTTATTCAATATTATATTATTGGTACAATATAGAATTCTCAGCACAAAGTATTTCAACAAGTTTCCGTTTCTTTCTTCTTGGTCGGTCCTCGCGATAAATACTGAGTGATCGCCAGCTAGATGTTAACAGTCCAGTAAATGAATATCTGAATAATGTACATTCTTTTCGTTGTATATTGCCAGCAACAATATTCTCTCTTTTTGAGCTTTTTGTAACTTTGACAACGAAAGGTTGTACACTTTTCAGAAACGCAGCAGAATAGGTTGTGCGATTAATAGACATAATGATATATTAAAACAAACAAAAATAGATAACTTGTTGAAATATCTAGATGGCAGGAACAGGTAGCCCAGATGCTCAAACAGGCCGCGTCAAAATCGAAGACCTGCTACCTTGAATGTGATTGGTTAGCCCGCAAATTATATTTCTACCCACTTTCGTTACATTTAGGCTTAATATTCATTTAAACGTGGGTAGGACTTTCAGGACAGTAGCTGCATAAGCGTGGCCATGTGTGAACATCTCGAGAGAATAGACTTTCCACCATCGACCATACAAGGACATTTAGGAGCAAAGCGTTCTCCGGGAGTGGGTTTAAGCGATTCTACGTTAAAACATCCATTTACTGAAACTGACGTCATCTAGAATCTTACACCACAGACATGCTGACTGCACGTATTCTATGCATGTCAGTAAACCACCTACGGGCTACATACAGTTTAGGTACCTGACAATACCATCTGACAGCTGATTTCACCTCAAATAAAACTTTTGGATGATACCTAGTCTCACCAACTACTGTCTGTTTGTAACACTATTTTTGCTGCTCAGCTGTAACTAAGTTTTTACAAAATGGTATAATTATAGCTTCACGTTAAATAACCATAGTCAGTTTGCTTTGTGAACGTTATGCAGCAAAACTATGGTGCATAACGTTAATATCTAAAGTCCTTACCAGCTACCAGAATGGTTTGTCACTTTTCATGTTTGCTTACCTATACTTCCTTCTGAAGTTAATACGTCATTAATAAACCTGAAAATCGGAAAACAGCACCTATCCATCTTCTAAATTTGTTTTACACAAACAACTTAGCCATCTTATCTAGTCTATATTTTATTTTTAGTCGCGTCACTCAATAAAGTTTGTCATTAAAACTACATTTGACTCTGTTGATCAGTAGTTAAAGATGCTGAATGACATGGCTCAAAACCGATCACAATAGCATAGATGCATTCACTCCCTGTCTATTCCTAGATCCTGGGTTTCAGAATTACTTTAGACTGTTTATTCCATGATCTATTCCTAATTTTTCCACTATCACTTCGGTACTCATCTTGATAATTTCATCCCTCTGTGCTGATATGCTGTGACAACTAGAACCGACGCTGATGTATGCCAGATTCTACGTTATTCATAGTAAACTGACAATATTAAGTGATATTCGTAAGTCCCAGGCATTTCGAAAATAACACTGTCTGACTTCAGTAACAAATTTATCAGACTCACTTATCAACTTAGAGTATGTAGATGATATAGTTCTGTTCGACAAGAACGCTGATAAAATGCTATTTCCTAAACCCCTTGTGATCCATTTCAATGACTTGGAAATGCGTTTCTCTACCACTTTGGAGCTGGTCTACATCAGCATTTCTGTCTGTAGAAAGTGAAATGATACACCATGTTAGCCGCTTATGAATTCCAATGGGTCTTTGGCTGATGAATTATCGGCACGGATTTAAAATAAGCAACTTGATTTTCGCCAGCTTCGGTCACTCATGGCGTAAGCGGGATTTCCATCTCACTGTGAAGGTGCAATTATACTGCAGTCCACTCTGTATTACTTGGTGACTGAAATATGCTTTATGAAAATAGAAGGCGTTCTTAAGTTGCGAATGTTCGACCATACTTATCTTCAAAGCATTTATCGCGTATCATGAAACAAGTTGGTTAGGTCGTGAAACTTCCTTGACTTAGGTGAATGGAATATGTGTTATGTATACCTAACTGCTTCCTACCCTTTTGCTCGACGGTAGCATATATAAAAGTAAGTTGAGAGAAAGCTAAAGACATCTAAACATTTAGTTCATAAAGCCATTGATTGTTAAGAACACTGTGTAACATGACTCGAAAGCAGTCTAAATGTCACAAATGCATTTACTGCCTATCGTTTAATTGTTGTCTAACAATCAGTACAAACTTTTGCCTAAATTCATCCGTTTGAGAACCGTACTTCCTCATTTTTAGTGTTTCTCATGGCCATTGATACTACTGTTTTTTTCGACTCAGAATTCATCTTCATTTCACTGTACCGAAGTGTTGCGTCGACTTGGAACGATGCTTGTTTCCTGTTTGTTGATGGAATATATTTGTGGTCAAACGTTCGACATTGAATCCTACTAGTTTTTCTAGTCGATATGTGTCCATCGTATGCAATATTATAGTCTGTCATCGTAAGCAGTTAAATATTATGTGCGTCTAATTTTTGGGAAAATAAGATGTAACCAATATTATTCTTTTAGTTTCAGGCAATTTCGAATAAACTTCTCAATTTCGCATCTCAGTGATCTTGAGACTATTATTTACAATGAAAGTTACATTTCTTTAACATTGGTACTCCTCAATTCATCTCATAACCTCTCAGTAAACCAATGTCGTCTACTGCATCTGTAGTCCCCAATGTTTCATATCATTTGCCCAAGCCTGTTACACAGAATTTCCAGCACTTCGATTGTGGTTCTGATGGGTCAGTGTTGGGATTCAGCCATCAATCTCCCCAAAATAATGATTATGGGCCTACTGCTAATTTTATGAAGTCAGAGTCATCTATATCCGCTTCTAAACTAGTTTCCTATAACTTAGATAACGCTTTACGTCTATCATTAAAGTCATCTACAGTCCCGCTTAATGGACACATATCAAATTATACAGAAAAACTGTCTCAACGACCTTTGTCTTTCCATGAATCGTCAGCCCCTCCTCTGGATTCAATAATCAAGCAGAAAATCCAAAGTTTACCCAGATCTTTGATCCTAGAAGATTCGGAAGAATGTAAATCCGTCAAAAAAAGTATGTCTTTTCATGAAAATATCTGACAACTGTCCACTGTTACACATTTAATTTCAAAACCTACTGCTGAGTTTTTTACATATTCAGGTTGGCTAAAATCTTACATCTGATTTCATTTATTCCAAAAGTGAATATTCATGTGCCTACTAATAGTTTGGTACTGTCCATCCATCTGTGACATGCTAAATAAATCTATTATTGAGAGGAATTATATCGAGGTATAGCAATTCACTTATCGTTAAATAATGGCACTTGTATTCCACTGGTCTATTGGGTTACTCTTACTATCAGAACTATATCAGCACCCATCAATAATTTAACTCATATTCAGAATACAGTAATCACGTGAATGTCTATTAACTGCTGCCCATTAAAACAGCATCTAGTTAAAGACGCAAATAAATTTATTGACCATTAATCCCATGATTTCTTTATTACTATTCAGAAAGCCTTTAACATGCACATGTAGTGCCTTAGAGCCACTTTTGACGTATAAAACTTTACTAATTTTCCCACCTCTCACTAGAATTCGTTTCTTGATTTTAGTTATAATATTTAAAACAAGATACTCAAACCTTTATGTATGAAGACAAGCATATATCCCTAGTAGAAATTTCATATCTACTAGACCGTTCATTTATTATCCATTTACTAGGCTTTTTAAGGTTAAAATTACATATTTGTGGTTACTTTTTGGGGAGAAGACCAAAACTAGCTCCAAGATAAAAAAATAAAATAATATTGGTGCCTCATCTAATCTAAATTATGAATAACAGGATCCATTAATTCCGAACCTTATTATCTCATAACGTCCATTCAAGAAATGTGGCTAAAATGGATATAAAGATATAAGAGAAATGTTCTTGGTGAGTGCTACTATCAAATATGTTTTTCGGTGGTACTGAGTTTTAATTGACTGTATGTAAATACATCCTAATCAAGTTGTTATCTCATCAAATACATCCACTCGTCCTAAAAATGTAATTCTCACTTAATCTGTAATTTTCCTTAGAGTAGTACAACTCTTATGGTTCATTGGTGCAGAATTAATCTGGTAATTACTTTTTTTAAACTGAGTTTGTACTGCCACATTTCATTTTCTACAACACAATGTTTTTGACAATTCAATCAGTTTTTTGAAGTGTTATAATCAAGAGAATTAATATCACCATTGTGAGTTGTTGTTCTCCGAATGTCAGTAGACATGTATGATTTCTAAGAAAGAGGTCGCGAAAACAGCTAAAATTAATGCGTTTCCTAGTTCACGTTCAAGCATTAGTTTGTTTTTTATACATATACACTGTCATGCAAAAAGCACGTGGCAATAAGCTGCCTGTGAGTTATCAGCAACTTTAAGGAAAGCCATTATTTCAAGAATTCAAATGTGTTGTAGCTTAGCATAAGCAGTAAGTAGATTTCCTTGCAACCAGTCTTGTAAAACTAAATGATCAACAAGATTGTGTAATTTATTCTTTAAATTTTGATTACTATCGATTTTTGCTAACGCATATTACTTCTCGCAAAGTAGCATATGCCGCTCACCAGGTTACTACTATTGATTGCTCTCAATTTTTGGTTTATAAGTCTTTTCGAAGATTCTGGATATGACGTGAATATATGTATCATAAAACATAAACCTATGACTTCCTGCTGACCACTTCCACCCATCCAATCGGTCTAACAAACACACTCGGTCAGCTTTGAAGATCAAATAATGACATTGGTCATTACCATCTAATAACGAGTTGATCTATAGTTAGTTTTAATGAATTAAGTTGGATAATAGAATTATCTTTAGGCAATGAAATTGATTCACTTATACAAAATGTTTTCGTGTCATTATGTGAGATAAAAGAAATAAGGGAATCGATATTTTCACACGGGTACTAAACTATCATTTCTTTATTCGACCTATCTTAAAGAGGGAATTTCATTAGAGGTGGGAAAGAATAGCAAAATTATCACTTACAAATTAATATTCTCTCCTCATTTTGAATGATTTTAAAAAAATAGTTTTAGTATTTTGAGAAAATTAATATAATTGTATGTATCATGTAATTTCTTCAACTGTTCTTGTATTTAACTTCTAGGTTCGCCTGAAAATAAACTCCTATGTTCCGATGATGAACTTGATCATTTGTGTCAAACCGGTGCTCATTGTATTCCAAAAAGAGCTTTGGGATTTGGTAACTCTGGGAATACATGTTATCTTAACTCTGTACTTCAATGTATTTTGGCTACTGGACCTCTACTTGCATATATTAACCATAAACATTCAAACCCTAGTAGCTGTATCATAACTAATGGTCGGTCCAGCCTTCCAAGCTTAAACAAATCTCGGTTTTGTGTTTTATGCGGTCTTTCTCGTCTTATTAATGAACATCACTCTCAAAATGGACGTACAATTCCTTCTTACTTTGTAACAAATGTTCGAGGTAAGCAATAAACATCGGAACAAATTACATCTAATAGTGTAATATCCTTAATAAAATATAATTAATTTGTATGATACAGCCTTCCTTCGACATGCTGACAAACTCAACGACTTCACGGTAGCTCTCAAAAACAGGTTCCAAACCTTACATGATCTACTGAGAGAAGAAGAAACTACTATGGAGGACAACTGAAAAGGGATCGAAAATGCACTAACTTCCATGTGTTAAGAGTTTCTAGGCCGCAAGAAGCATCATCATGAGGAATGGATCTGTATTACGACCTTGAATAAGATTCAACAAAGAAGGAACTAGAAGACAGCAATTGCCAGCAGTCTAACAAGAACAGAGAAAGTCAAGGTACGAGCTGAATACACAGAAGCAAACGAGCTAGTGAAGAAGAGCACTAGAGCTGACAAGCAGAAGTGCATGGAAGACCTAGCAGTGGCAGTGGAAAAAGCTGCAAGAGACACACATTGAGGAAATCACCTGCTTCTGTTTGGGCACCCGGGCAGTATCACACATATCAAATGAGATCTGTGTGGCGCGTATGTATTTGGTGCCTCCTTGTACCAATATCTATGTGTTAAAATAAATAAAACAACTTATTCTATCCTTGTTCAATTGTGATTTAACTTAGCTTGTTGCTTTATTCACCATTTCTCTACCTTCGCCAGCTATTTGTCCCAGTCTTCGTCCTTATCAACAAGAAGATGCACATGAATTTCTACTTGGACTTTTGTCAAGAATGGAAGATAGTTCATTGGCAAGTTTTGGTAAAGTGTCTCGTAAAATATCTGAAACAAATGTCATCAGGAGGATTTTTGGTGGTATAATACGTTCAGAAGGTAAGTAAAGTATTTGCAACTTTCTAAGTGGTAATACACAACGTATTCTGATTTTCTAAAGTATTAATTTCAATAGCGAATCATTTTGTAAATATTCTTGAAAGACTAGCCATTAATATTATTATTACTATTATTATTATTATTGTTATTATTATTAATATTATTATTAAACATCCAATATTTATTGTTGTATTCCAGTGACATGTCATTCTTGCCTCAAAGTTTCAGCGCGGGATGAACAATGCTTTAATTTGTCTATGGATATCACTTGCGCTCGAAGTTTACAGGTTAATCTATTTCCTTTCTTTTTTGAATATTCTTTCTAACGTTTTGCAATAAAATAATGCTAAGTAGTTCGACATATTGCAATATTCAGTCATTCAGTCGTAACACAAAACATAGTACCTATGTACATCGGTCCAAGTTGCCATATCCTCTTAACACAGCGAGATGAAATTGTTGGGACAAAATCCTAAATGGTGTAGGCAGTGACAGTATCGGTGATGATCGAAAAAATTAGGCATCAAACATACAATTCGAGAAAATATAAATTGATGAGATAGGAAGACGTGTGGAATTCGGAAACCTAGAATTTCAGGAAAGGCAAGGAATGAATGCACCTTTGCCATTACAAATAGTTTTGGGCCATCTCATTTAAATTCTTTGATCACCGGTTGCGATGGTCAGGCAGCCTCCAACCACGCAGTCTAACACCTAATAACAGGACTCCGTTTAAATGTAAATGACTTAATAGAGTGGTGTCATGTTCTGGTCTGACCGCCCCTGTCTTTCTCTCAGCCTACTCCTACACCAAACACCATCTCCCATCGAGCTAGACGGTGGTCGTGCATGTTCCAACCAACCTCTGCTGCAATATTGATCAAAGTAATAATATTTGGGACACCCAGACTCAGATACGGCGTCATTGACTTTGAATCCGTAGCATCGCTCATACGCAGTGTAGAAACCTAACACATATACATAGGTTCAAGTTGCTGTACCACACCAGTCAATGTAGTATAAGCTATCACAGTATCAGTGGTAGTAGGAAAATTAGATATAGATAATAAGCTTCGAAAAAAATAATAAATTTATGGAGTAAAGAAAAGTATAAGATAATTTCGAAATCTAGAATGTAAGGAAATATAAAAAGTGAATGCATCCGCGCCATTACAACCTAAAGTCCGACCAATGGTTGCAATAATTTCATGGGCTCCTAACCAGCCCCTAATTCCCTTCCATCTTATCTCTGCATCGAGTAACATTGCTCATCAAAGTAAGCGATAATCAGCCATATGTAATATACATTCCAACCACCTCAGTTACTGAATATTCACTACTTCATCAATCTACTTATCATTAGCTAGTACGTTGTGCCTAACCTCAGTATTTCTCACTTGATGACCCCAATATACTCGGGTAATTCCTCAAAGGCATCTATAAACCTCAGTCTGTGCCCTATAAGGTCCACATAATAATTCATAGTGTAGAACTTTATGTGATTCAAAATCGATCAAGCTGATTTAGTTGCATTCGTTCTTTAACTTCCTCTAAATCACAAACTGCCATTTTGCGTTTTCATTCGTTCATTACGAACTATTCGCACTACTGTTGGTATTATTAATTTCATTTCGTTACTTTACGCTCCCTGTCGTGTTGCTGTTAGCGTGCAAGGTTTCGCAGTTTGTGTCGATAGACACTTGTCTCTAGTTCCACTTTGCTTAGTGCACACTGCCTTCATTGATGTCAAGGTGTTTTCATGAGAAATAAATAGTATCAACCCTTGTGTTTGAATGCCAAGTTTTTCAGTAATTGGCTACCAACTAACTAGTTCGTAACCAATTCGAAATCAGCTCAACTGACTATGCACTAAACAACCAGTCAATACGTGTGGTAAGATAACGGGTTTGTATTTTGTTGAGATAGGTTTCTTTGTTCATTTACTGGAATGGTAAGTGGCGGTAACTCAGTGTGGGTGTAAAAGTTCTCAACTTTCTGGGGATTCGAATCCCCTATTCATCTACTTCAGTTTATCTAATCGGGTACTATCACCATGCCTTAGATTTTTAATGTGTTCTAAATCCGAGAAAATGAGGTTGTATTTGCTAAGTTTCATAAATTGATTTTAGAATATACGTTCTCACTAATTACATCATTCATTCGTCCTTAATTCTTATATCATCTTCTACTTTTAAAACACCTAACTAGCCAAAACGTTTAAAAGCTGAATATTTCATTGTTTACTCTCATTAAAATAAATGTTTATTTGATACAATTCAGCTTTAACTTGTCAATGCTCTTAGCTATGCAATAAATTTTTTTTAAAACCCAATGCTTGATTCTGCTGTGTTGCATTAATTTCTCTTTCTTGTTACCAATCATAACCATATTAAACTTCTATCCCCCTTTATCTCTTTTCAGCAATGTCTGTGTAATTATATTCGTAGTGAAGAGTTATCAGGTCAAAATGCATATAAATGTGAAAATTGTCATCAACTTCGACCAGCTATGAGAAAATGTACCATTTATCGAGCACCACCTATACTTATTATCCAGCTAAATAGGTAAGTAGTTGAATTCTGTTTTTTTTTATTGTAAGTATTTATTGTCAGCTTTATTTACAATTGTGCATGTAGCGATTTGACGTTTATCTGTTGCTTATCGAGCAATTCACTGTCTCCCGTCATTTAGTTTTCTACAACTTCGTACTTTTTGTTAGTTATTCCATTGGAATAAAACTGGGAATTGCCTATCCATTTCTTACAAAATCCATATTGGTATTCAATAGTAGAGGATAAAATGTTAAAAATTAGTAAAGAAAATTATCTCACTAGTTTCATTACTTATGTTCAATTCATTAAGTCGTCAATCAGTAACCTAATCTACATCACTTCCAACAGCTAATTAGTGTCTTTAACCTCCATCCAATAAGTTTCGTGCGAAATGTAGTACATAAATCTTAATTTGCTTGTCAGATATGATCAGTCGTCTTCTCTTTTTGCGTTGTCATTCTATTCAACCTCTTTAGCTAAACATTGGTCCCCATATTAGTAGGTTTCTTATAAAATGTCTGGACAACCTGTCTTTTTGTTATTGTTATCCAATCTATTTGGTGCTTAATTTAACCATGTCATCAATCGGTGATAAAAAAATAATCATCAGTTAACACTTTTGTATTAACTGCCATGACGTGGAGTGATTAGATCACTTTGGACTAGTTAGGTCTTGGGTTCGAACACAACCCCACCTACTTTGATCAGCTTGTTCGAATCCTTAGCCCTCACACAACAGGTATAGCTTCTATTTTGGTACACAAACCTATATTTAGTAGACGAGTCTGTATTATTACTAGTGCCTCCCCTTATAATCCTCTCATATGACGAGATCCAAGTCGGCGAACACTGTTGCTTCCCTTTGACTTCTCATTAGCATAAGTTCAGTATATTTGAAATATTCTTATCTGCTAATATCGAATCACATATTCACTCTACCTGATGATAGATGTAGATCTATAGTTCAACTTGTCAAATACAATATGAGTATAGTATAATGATAGTCAATATGCTTTACTAAATTAGAATTACATTTAATTTGACCAAATAAATATACAACTATCCATGTCAAATAAGCAATTTACTTACATAATTAGAATGTATGGATATATATACACACTAGTCTCATGGAAAACTCAATTATAATCGCATTTTTGTGTATAAGACTAATCTCATTTATTTTCATTACGTTTTATACGTATTTAGAAATCATAGAATGGAAGTTTGTGGTCATTGAAAAATTAAACATATACTCTGATATTATTATACATTCATTATCCTATTCCATTAATAAAGAAATATATTTGTGTATACTAATATGTATACGTATAAATGTATAAATTTATATGTATATCTTATGAAGTGATGAAGTTTTGTATTGAAGAGATGAAATGCAAATTACAATCGAAAAACAATTCAATTATCCGCTCTGCAAAAAATAACATCGACTACCATCCATGATGTTCTACCTGTGTATACATATACATATATGGTGAGAAAACTTGAGTATACCTGTGTTTGTAAGCTACAATAATTTTTATTATATAATAACTCCTCCTTTGTACCTTTTCTTCATCCTTCCCCCCCCCAATGTTCACTACATCTCTTGTCTACTTCAACTGAGTTGATTTTTTTTCATGTTATATTCTTGGTTTAACCAAAAATATAATGGGTGTCCTTAATTGGTTGTTCAACTAAATTAATACGAGAGTTAAATTAAGATCAGTCTTAGTGTAAAAGAATTATAAATCTCACTAAATAGCAATGAATTTGACAGATCAGCTTAAGTTGTTTTTTTCTAACATCTCACAGTCTTGTTTAAATATGTCTCTACATTGTGTCATCATCTTCTGCTAAAGTCTATTACCTGTTTCTGTTTTAGTAACAATACTTCTATGGATTTATTGTTCACCTTCTTGTGCTAATAAGATATGGCAACTTGAACCAATGCATATATATGTGCTTGATCTTATGCTATAGCTGAATGACTTTTAGTTTTGCTTCATCATAACCAAATGTTATTCATATGTTCAATTGTTAATCAATGGTTGGAGACTCTTGGTGACATGGCTTAGAATCGATCACAATGGTGTCAGTGTATACACTCTCTGTCTTCCTTTAAAATAAGATTAAAATCGCTTCATATCTTTCTTTCTACGAACTAATTCTTTCTTCCTGTACTATATCCTTATACACAATCTTTCTTTTATATATTGCCACCTCTGAATTAGCTACTTTTATAAATCCGGTGTCCACCTTGTTGTGTTAATGAGGTATGGCAACTTGGACCAATGCATATATGTGCCTAGTCCTACGTTGTAGCTGACTAACTGACTGAATGTTAATCATTTCAAAAAAGTCTACATGTCAGGAACTGTAAAATTAGTTATCTATTTTATGTAGTAGTATATTTCTAGTCTAAATTCTTACGTTCACCGAAAGAATACTAAGGCTAATAATTATTCATCTTACTATTCTTTGTTTATTGAGTTATTATTATCACCCCTTCCATTGTTACTAATGGACAATTATAACAAGTAAATTTTTATTCTAAAATGTTTATTTTTGTAGATTTTCACGTCATCAAAAACTTGATATACGTGTAGATTTTCCTTCATCATTTAATTTACGTCCATTTATGACACAATCAAAAGGTTTACCAATATTATATAAATTATATGCTATAGTTAATCATGAAGGATATAGTTGTCGTAGTGGACATTATGTATCATTTACTCTACGTCATGGTCAATGGTTATCACTTAATGATAGTTTTGTAAGTCCAAATATATATTATATATATATATATGCATATCATTAATGATGTTTACTGTCTTTCTTTAATATAAATATATGAGAAATAATTCAACAGAATTTGTAATTGATTTTCTCTCTTTTAAGTATTCCAATTATAAGCGATTTATTTTTAGTATGATCGGAATGTGTTTCTCACTCATTGAATGATGATTATGATGTTTTCATTTAGACATTGGATTTTGATAATACACAGTGAAGTTAGTAAGCGTATTAATAACTTTATTTAACTGAGTAAGTAGTTGTATCTATCCTAGTACGTTAGTACATCATAGAAATAGATGTCAATGGGAACGGTTAGTTAACATGACATGTTTAAACTACAATTTTATTAGTACTCAAGATAGTTTATGGTGTATGTAGGTCCAAATTAATTGTCATCTCATCAAATTTATGTGAGGGCCGTGATCCTGCACGGGTGCCCAAACCGAATTAGGTGGTTTTCTTAAGTGACCAAACCCCGAGGTCTGACCCACAAGGCGGTGGAGCATCGTGACGAGATGCAGTCCCATGGTAGCCGGTGACCAACAATTGGTTCATACACCATTTGTTCCCTCAGGATACTGGAGGCCATATGCACCATTGGTTTGGAATCAGGGTTCCCGAACTCCCGTGGCGCGCATACATTTGGTGCCCCTTTGTACCGATATTTATGTGTTCAAATATAAATAATGTAGGTCCAATTATATTGTACTACCACTGCTATTTGAGCTCTTACTCTCAACAAGCGAAGATAGATAAAGATGGCTAAAAATGTGGTTGGTCAACATCATTGAATTTATTGACTGTTCGTTTAAATCACTTTTGAAATTTCAAAGTCTTCACATATAACCTAGTTTATTGTATAAAAAACTACCTGGTAATAGTGCTGACTACATTAGTCCACTAAGTTTTACACTGTTCGATTACCACAATTGGTTCAAATATTATCAGTATCCAATTAGCAAGGGTCTCATTCTAATTGTTAATGTTACATCGTGTTATTAGTGTTTATTTTTATTTGTTATTTGTAGTGGTACTTCAGTTATGTGTTGTCTTATTTTACAATCTGTAGGTTTCAACAACAAATCCTGACCATGTTTTACGTCAGTCACCCTACCTACTGTTCTATGAAGCGGTAAGTTATGATACTTATACTTTTCATTCTTCTTTCGTTACCCATGTATATGTTGATTCATCGGTCTAAGCTCATTCATTTACCGAACTTAACTCCTACTGCTTAATTCTAGATAATTAAAAGTTATGATATTAACTACTCTTACATCCTTCTAGTTTTTGGCACTAGCTTTCGCTTGGTTACTGACTTTGTTCTCATCAACTGTATTATTTTTACTTAAACTGCACTTCTTACTTTCATGTATTGGTTACGTGAAATTGCAAACTGAAATTTTAACGTTATAATTCGTTCCAATTTCTTATAGACTACTTCATTAATTCTGTATAACTTATCTAAATATAGGTCTGTGTACCAGGTTTTAGTTTATATATTATGTCAAAACTGAAGTATCACAATAAAGTAAACAACGGGAAAATAATAATTGCTGAGAATAAATCAATCGAATTACAGAAATGGAATATGGGGAGGGTGTAGCAACATTTCTAAAGTAATTTTGATAGAAATTCATTCTCTGAGCTGCATAATTTAGTCGCGGAGCTTTCACTTTTCTTTTAAACAATATCATCAGCACAAACCTCAGGTAAAAGTGTAAAGTAACTCTAAAATGTTCACTTCTCTCCTAAATTGACGTAAATGGTTCTACTTTCTCAATAACATTGAAAAGATCTCAATGAAGCTACTTAGTTCAAAAGACATTGTGGTGTGTGCTACTTATATTGATATAAGTAGTATATGTCGCGAGTTAAAACGTAATATCTGGCAGCAGAAGATGAGGTGAAGATCAAGAAAGGAAGAGCGAGAGCACAATGGAATTTGTAAGAAAACGCATGTACAATGGATTAGTGTTTGCAACGGAAACAGTCCAGTTTGATATGATGCATTGATATTTCGCAAATTGACGATTGACTATATGGTATTCAGATTTTATTGAGATAGTCTGTAATTTTTGTGCTAAAGACATTCGATTGTCCTCACCCGTGTTCTTGTTCACTACAACATCACCAAATAACCAAGATGAAGTTCAAACATGTAGTCTTAATCGCTAAAGAAACATAATAGCTGCTACAATCTCAGATCAACGATTATATAAAACTATATTTCTTACAACAATATCAAGCTGTATTGTTTGTTCACACCTCCAGATACACATTTCATTCTAAAAATTCAAGAATTTTAATCGAAGTTCTTTTTATTGCTCATATTAGATATACTTTTCTTTGTGGATTATGTTCATCTCAACACAGTCGTATCACCCTATTGTAACTACGGTGAATCAGATTACTTGATTGAAAATGATTTATCATATGATTGTTCCGATTGTCTTCTGTGACTATGTTTTATTATCCTAAATCTATCATAACACGTAACTCTAATCGCTGCCTGTCAGTTCATTTTAAGAAGCAATTTACTGTTGATCCAATCCATGTTGGTAGGTTCACACTATCTGACTGGATGATCACGTGATTATTGTAACCCCTGACAGGAGGACTTTAGGTGACATCGCTGAAAATCGGACACAATGACACGGATGTATTCATTCTTTTTTATCCCTTGCATTTTGAGTTTCGTAATCACCTTATACTTTTTCTTCACTCCATGAATTCATTTGTTCTTTTCGAAACTTATTGTATATGCCTAGTTTTTTCTACTACCACTGTTACTGTTATCTCTCCCACTACTTTGACGTTTGTTTTGATTATTTCATCTGATTGTGGCAATATAGTCTGGCGACTCGGATCGATATATGTATGTGTCGAATTCTCCATTATATTTGACTGACTCTGTCTTAATCCGTTCCACTTTAAACTTCAGTCATATAATATAGATGTCAGGTTATTTTCACTTTAAGCTGTAAGCGATAAATATTACTGTAAACGCTCACTGTGTTTTTTGTTTGTTTGTAGGTTCGTAATTCAACTAACAGTACAGTTACTCGTACAGTAACTTCTAAGGAATCTTCACTAGACACTAATACTCCGAAGCTAAATAACTCCCAGTTACCTCTTGTTAATGATACAGTCAAACAACAACAGTCTATTACAAAACCTTATTTATCATCATCATCGTCGTCTACACAGCCTAATCATCATAAATCTTTTAACATCATAAAACAAACAAATTTACCACCTGTTACCACATCATCTGTTATTTCTCAAAGTACTTCATTTACTAAGACACCAACAATTAATTCATTGTGTTGCAGTAATCCTACCACAAACACGGTATCATCCGTACCGAAAATTGTTTTTAATCCTAAACTTTCATTAAATAAAATAAACATCCTGGGTAAGTTCTTCACTTTATAAATTTTCTGTACATGATCTTTCTCTGAAAATTACTTTTTTTTTCAATTTCTTTTGGCCTGTTCGGATAATAAATAGTGTGTTTTGATTTTTATACCACCATAGATTTGTTATGTGTTCAGTTATTGAAAATTGCCAGACACGTTTTCTTTAAAAAAAGTTGTAATTCATTACTTTTGATATTTTCAGATTTAAATCGACTAACATGTACGTGACATTTTGACTTCTAGCGTGATATACTTAGGTGACTACTTTAAATTTAGTAAGGTCAATCAGTGGTCTTGAATGCTGTTAAAGGTATCAGGGCGTTTGTCAATTTCCGGTTATCCACACCGTAGAAGGGTTCTCCTCGAGGTACCTGAAAAGGAAATTGGGATAGGGGTGGTCTTAGTGACCTGAGAGCATGACCACAGTGCCCATGGGACAACTGCCTAAGACCGGTCACACACAATCTTTTCGTAAGTAGTTTTCGTATTAGCTCCGTATCCTACGGATTTCCGTGGGATAAGGCGAGATGTGCATTTTTAGGGTCGACCTTTTCCAACCCCACTCTTCCTTGTAGGAAGGCAGCATCGCTGTTATGCTGGTTGTCTGAATTTAACACCTTACTGCCGTCACACCTCTGTAAAATCTGCAGTACGACTTCGCCCTCGGACCTTGGGCTTACTGTTTTTAGTCTTACCGGTCTGGCATGGTAGGACCTCAAGGAACCGTTGTTCCAGCTAATATAGCTCGACTGGTTCATCACGATAGACAAGCCCAACCACCACGTCGAAGTATCAGCAATGGTCGGGATTTATGGAGCATATTTTAGCACAACATTTATTGAAACAGAGGATCTTCCTTACTGGACTTACCACCCAGTTTTTTCCTACTACAATGGTCGGGGATTTAGTAAAGTAATTAATAGCAAAATAGAATCCTGACTATTGCATGGTTAGATCAGTGTGAAATCAAAATACACTATTTGATCTTTCTGTCAACCAATTGCCGTTGTTAGACTAATCGAGATACTAAATGATTCTAATGCTTTTACTAATGTATCTACTTGTTATTCGACTTTATTGTTATATATATATATATATCTAGGAAGAGTCGAGTGGACTATCATGCATGGTCTCGGAATGCTAGACAGTAGTAGATAGTTTTCGGAAGTTTTGATTCACGGCGCATCATTTTTTTAAATTTTAGCGAATATTTTCCCTACATTTAATTAATATCATACAATTGGTTTCGCTTATTATCTTGAATAGAGCAAGAACAAAGAATTAAGCAGAATAGCGTGAATTCAGTTTATTTCGTTAGGTCCTCATCAGTTGCCTACCATCTGTATAATATTTTAATATCAAAATTGTCTTACAAGTCGATGTTCTTGTAAAAGTAAAAATCTATACGTATCATTATGGTGAAGTAATGAAATTGAACACATAAAGAATGTTGTAAATAAATACAATATCTGAAAGAAGATTCTGGATCACCAGACATAGTCACAGAGTTGGAACTATTGATTGATTATGTAATGAAGTGGCTGGACGTAAACTAATGACAGTTAAGATCAGCCTAAGTTTAAAATGGTTCAGTTAGAAATAAAATTATGAATTCAAAAGAACTGATGCAGCCGAAATAAACGGGAATAAATCACAGGAATAATGTGATTAACTGACAGTCAAATCACCATAATAACGAAAGATTTGCAACTGTTTGTTTTTGGATACTTAAGTTAGGCTTGAAATGTTTAATGGCTACAGCTTCGGCGAATTAAGGAAGAACGGAATTCGACTGCTGAATAATGATTCTGAAAGATTTCAGTATACCAGCCTGATGCCCTATCACAGGGATGTTTTACAATACTACTGCTGAAAGCCTTTAATCCTATCAACCTGAGACTTTTGAGGATATGATCTTGAAGTCGAACGTAGATCCTTCTTTCTTTCTTACCATTGTAACTGCTTTAACAGGTACATGTATATTTGTATGCTCATTTGGTGGTAGCATGGAAAAAGTACGCGTTATGACTTAAATCGCTGTACATCATCAAGTGGAATTCATCATCATAACTAAAGTTGCATAACATGTGATCAGTTTACTTGAAATATGTAAAGATTCTCTGATTTTTATTATTATCTGTGTTATAATCTCTTTCTTCTTACGGTTATGACCCAGCTATTCCTATTGCTTAGTATTCTCGGACACCGATTCACTCGACAAGTCCCCAAATCAAAACACGGTTGAACAGGAAAGAGCTTATATTCCAAATAGCAAGTCAGAAGCACAATAGAGAAAAACGTCAGTATATTTATAGTTTTCTACATGAGAAGATTCTAGAGTGTTCTCCAACTATCGACTAGTGCTGATTGGTTAAGAATTAGCCAATCAGCGTGCACCAAAGCAATCGTGAATTGAGCATGCTTTAATCTAGTCTATGTCCCGCTAACAATCTGCAAATAGATTGCTTTGTAATTATTGATTGTATTATATTAGAAATAAGTCGCATAAGAACAAGCTTCACTATTTATAAAATGAAGCACAATTATTATTTAGTACTTCACCTATAGGAAACTGAAAAAATTTTTAGGTAGGAAAGCTAATTTCTCCTCAATTCTACTGATATAGACTTCCAAGGGCTCTTTTACCTGTTACATTCTTCACTGTGATATTCAGAATCTAAACACGTGCTCCGCTACCTGTATGACTATTGTGCATTGGAAAACAAAACGCTCTCAGTATTCCAAACATGTTAAATTAATGTATTCCTTTCTTATGTGTGGTACAATCTATTTCTTGATCCTATTTATTTGATTAACTTGAATGTGAATTATTCTTTTACTATTTTGCCAATTTATTTCCTAAGTGTTTGATGGTTCCTCTATATTTGGCCTACAAATATGAAATTATTATCTGTATATAATTCAATACTCTTCTTCTTGGGATTTTATTCATATTCAATTGTATAAATCAGTCTATCGAAATGTTTGGTAAAACTTATGTAAAATCATATAGTATTACTTGAGTAAGATGATATGTTAGGGATTAAAATCCTTTTGTTTCAGGTGTTATATTAACAATTATGAATGGATAGTAGTTACTGATTGTAATCTATCTCTTTTCGATGAGATTAATGAAAACTACACACTGTCTAAATCGGGTTAACTGACTTATATTCGCTTCCTAATGATTATCTTACCCGAACATTGTCTATCTGTTTTAGCGTCCCAAGCGGACATATGTGTATAATGGGTAGTGTGACATATTATTGCTTTTACATTATGGTGATAGAAAATTACATTTGTTAATCAAACACTTGTGAATGTATTGTATAGTTTCAGGTTTTATTTATTTGATCATTGCTTTCTTTTGTTTGTATTTTTTCAGCCTCACCAATTGTTCCTTCTACATCAATATCAAATGGTCCCATTAATTCACTATCTTTTACTTCGAAGAGTAAAAATATTCAAGATATCGTAGAGTGTGGTAAGAATCATCATTCAAATATTATATCAACAGTACCTTCAGCCAGCAGTAGTACTAGTGGTACGACAACAACCATCTCTTTATCAGCGGCCACTGTCCGGGAGGTTAGATTTTATCTTTAGTTGTTTTGTATTGATTTTTCGTATTTAGGAGTAATGTAACCACCTTTTTTAAGTGGATGTCTATAGGTTAAAATAACCGTTATCGGTGGTTAGAGATGGGTGACATAGTCCACGATTGGTTTTAATGGTGCAAATGCACTTACTCTGTCTTCCCTTCGATTCTGGTTTCCAAATTATCTTTTGTTTCCCATTCCACGCATCTGTTCTGTTCGAATCATACCATCTATGCCTAATTTTTTTCTGCTATTAATGTTACTATTCTTCGTGCTGCGACGCAGCAACTTAAACCAGTCCCCACATATGTACCAGGTTTCTCTTTGCTAATAACTAGCTTACTTCTACTTAGTACATTACCTTAAACTGGTTATAACGTTATAACTTCCAAATCTATTCAGAGAAAACCTAAATCAAACAAGAAAGTCTCAATTGTCATAATTCTAGGTTGATAAAGGGGATACTGTGTGGTGAGTAGAAGTCGAATTGATATGCTAATTAGTAAATCCCAGGATTGTTCAATTTGTATTCTGGTAGTCATGAGTAAACCAGCATTCAAGTCATAGAGCACACTTGACAATATTGTATTCTATAATTTCAGTTGGACACATAGTAATGTACAGATAAGTCATCATTACATCACAATCAAATTATATTCAGCTTTCAATCAATCGGTTGCATGTTCAAACAATTCCGTCTGTCTTATTTCTATCAGCATTTTGGTAATACACGCCGTAGACATGAAGAAAAGTGTGACTTAATGCCGGTTACCATACTACGTTGAAAACAACGTTCCTCGTCCGACCACCACGTTCAGCATCGTTGAGCCCGGTCAGTACTTGGATGGGTAACCGGCTTTAAATTTTTGCCCTCTAACGCACTAGTACGCCCTAGAGTGGGTAGAGTCAGATCTCCCTCTCGAAACGCTCTCACATGGTCATGTGCATACAACCACTGCCATGGAAGTCCTACTCACTGCCTTCTCGTGGCAGAGGTGTTGTTTACGAAATTGAGATGACGAAAAGCGAATATCTGGCGCTTTAATCCAGTTGGTGGATACGGAGGATCCACCTGGGAGGGGGAGTTGGAAAACCCTGATTCCAAATCAATGGTGCACATGGGTTGCAGTATCCTGAGGGAACAAAAGGCATATGAACCTATTGTTGGTCACTGGCTACCATGGGACTGCATCACCTTACGTTGTTCCACTGCCTTGTGGATCAGACCTTTAGGTCGAAGACTCGAAGAGTAGCCCCCTAAGGAAACCACGTGCGTTGATTTGGGTGTGTGGGTATTATCCCAGCCGTCACACAAATCGAATGATTTATGTGACTGATATCTGTTTTGTGCCTCCTTGTATCAATGTTTATATGTTTAAGTAAATAACTAGCTTAATGCCAAATACAAAGTATCTTTGCTCGGTTATTTAAGTACACCTAAGTAAATCAACTATCGAAATTCGTTATCTTTAAAGTATTTCATGATGAACAAAAAAATCTGGTTACTCCTTTGCTTTATGTCATATTTTTGTGATAGCGTCACTACTGGATTGGACACTTTCTCGATGATTCCACTTCGGAAGACGTATACTGTCTTTTTGTTGGTCACTACTCTGTGATAAGTCAGTTGTACACATACATCTCAGTCATACAGCAGGTCACTCTCTGCCCAAATAGAACCCTGGCAACGTCTCTTATGGTGAAACTAAGTGACACGGCATTAAATCTCCCAGGCAGCATCAGTTTCCTCAAGATTGTTGATGCACCTTGCTGAGTGTCAATTAGCATAAAACCTACACCCATAGCTTCTTGACAACTACATATAACTACCTAAAATATCCATGTTTTTTCAACTCACTCAAATCTGATGCACACTGCTGAGAAGTCCCGTACTAGGACGAAACGGCCGTCCAGTGCTTCCAGATTTTAAATAGTGGTCTAACATCGATCGGTTCATGATCCAAACTAAATCCGATCTAGTTGAATGATCTCTATTTTTTATGTCGGATAATAAAAACCCGCCAAGATGAGTGTGCACGCTAATGATGTTTAATTATAAACTCAATATTTAACAACTGTAAACCTTTATCGTTTCAAATTTGTATGAACAGAGTTTGTAATTAACGTTAAAAATGTATGTATACTATTCATGTGGATCCCCTCGGTACGATGTTATCAAGATAAATGTATTTTCTATAAGTCGTATATTCTTAATATTCATGTTTTTCTTTTTTCGTACTTTAAGTTGCTCTATGGAAAAGAAACATCATCAAATTTATGGACTGAACGTCCAACACCAATAAACGAGTCTGTTTTATCATTGTCGTCGACTTCATCATCATCTTCAACAATAACAACATTATCTCATTGTATTAAAAATCCGACTAGTGAACAATCATCAGTTACTCTTTGTAATAATTCAGATAATCTAACCACAATCAGTACTACAAAGGTACAAACCACCTCATCTCAATTACCTTCACTTAATACTGCAGGCTTAAAAGATAAACAACATGAATTGACAAATCCTTTAGTGGACTATTCTTATGAGGTAAATATTGACTACTTGTATCATATTTATATGTTTTAATTGCTCTCATTTTTTTTTATTATAATTTTCTTAAGAGTCTGATTGAGTGTTTTAGCTTAATCTAAATTGAATAAGTGTCAGTCAATAAAATGGAGAATACTAACCCAATTAGAAAGTCGTAACATAATTCCAAGAAGTGATTATCATGCTGTTAGTCTAGAAACATCCTATCAACTGATATGCAAAACAATAATCGATTTCGTGCAACCCCAATTATCCCCGACCGTTGTTGCTACCTTGACGTGGTGGTCGGGCTTGCCTGTCGTGATGAAGCGACCGAGCTATACTGGCTGGAACAACGGTTCCTCGAGGTCCTATCATGTCAGACAGGTCGGTTGAAGAGCGGTAAGACTAAAAGCAACAAACCCAAGGTCCGAAGTCTTACTGCTGACTGTACAGAGGTGTGACATCAGTAAGGTGTTTTCTTCAGACAACCAGCATGACAGCGATGTTGCCTTCCCACAAGGAGGGGTGGGGTTAGAAACTGTCGATCCTAAAAATGCACACCTCGCCTTATCCCACGGATATCCGTCTCCGGCGGTAAGGTCTCAACAAGTACGGAGCTAACACAAAAATCACCCATAAAAAGGTCGTGTGTGACCGACCTCAAGCAGTTGTCCCTTGGGCACTGCGGTCACGCTCTCAGGTCACTAAGACCACCTCTAATCCAATTTCCTTTTCAGGTACCTCCAGAAGAACCCTTCCACGGTGTGGGCAACCGGGAAGTGATAACCGTCCTCATACCTCTAACAGCATTCAAGACCACTGTATTCATAATCAACCTCCGAACTCTAATTATCCAACTTATTAGAATTATGTAGCAATTATTCTAAAATGTATGTATGTATGCATTATCCCTATTTTGTTTTGTCGAATTTCTTAAGTTTGTACACTTTTATTAAACCCTTTTTCGTACCATTAAACTGTTACAGTAATGTTTGTGATTTCTTCCTATTTGAAAATCCAGTATTTCCTTAAAGTTGAATCTAGATTGACCGAAGAAATAGGTATTTAACAGTCTGTTTGAGTTTTAAATAGCCCCCATACGGTTAAAGTTGGGGACTTCAAAACCCTCTCCTTGGTTGGTTCTCAAAGACGTTAAAAATCTTTAAATACTCACACTTTTCCTTTTGTAGCACTTTCAGTTGGAGTTAAAGTAAATCTATTGTTTACTCTTTTCTTCTTGATAGTTGAGAGTTGTGTCAAGATTCATCATTACTGGTATAGGGCAAATTCGACTGAAGAATGTTTCTATGTTGCATCCACCATTACATTGATATTCCGAATTATGTAACTGAAAACGGATCATAACACTTCTTATTTTTATTTCATTGAGCGTTTATTAAATATTTTATATCTAGCTAACAACACTACTTTCCTTAAAACTATCATCTTCATACAATTTTCTCGCTTAGAACCAGTTGACCACCTAGAATTATTGTTTTCAAAGATGCGTGTAATAAGGTTCTACATTCAATGACTGTAATTTAACAGTAAACTTTTCTGAAGAGCAGTTGTGCTCAGGATTCTACTTCGAGTTCTACAAAATTCATTCTGAATGAAATATTCTATATTCATGCTACCATAAATCCGCTTTGTCTAATGTATACTTTCGTATCCAAAACTTTATCTATAGGCTTTTGATGCTTTACAGTTTGGTGTTATCGCTCTACAACTGACTACTCAGGGTTTACGGGAAGTAGACGTCGCCACCCTATAGTGCATTAGCGTTGTCATCATGATTATGAAAAGAATATTGCATTTTTACTAGTTCATTACTTAAGATAACCTATATACTACCATATAAGTCGAATAAGTAAATGCAGCTTTGCTAAGTAACATATGGTAGTTATTGACTTAACTAAATATCAGTAGATTCATGATTACGTACAATAGTTATGCATGCATTTTAATTAAGTCTTCGGGGTAATCAGTGAATAGTGAAATGTTGTAAGAAGTTAGTTTAGATATTTGTTCTATAATTAATTGGTTATCCATTCTTAACTATTCAATAAGCAAAGATAGGTGGTGCTTAGCAGTGGAAACCAGGACACCTGCATCATCAACTCTGGGATGCAGATACATCCAGCTGACGAGTCCCAGATAGGATTCCACTTCTAACCACCATCCATCTTTGTTCATAATGCTTGTGAATTAAGGCCATATCGATGCGGTCCGCACAAGATGCACATATGCCATTAAGAGACTGGTCAATTACAGTTCGAAAAAGTGATAAATAGTTATTACCTCTCATGTAATAGCTTCTGTGTTGTAGTTTTCAGTAGTTCTTTCCGATGTGTCCTTGTTCAATAAAATTGCCATCCCGGATAATAGCCCAGTCCATAACCATTTAGTATTATCTAAGAAAATTTTTAATTGCATAGATTTTATTGTCTTTCTCGGCAGCATCATCAATGCTAATACTATTCGGTGGTGAAATTTTCAGTTATTCCACAACAGTTATACTTGTTTGTTCCTGTAATCTTGTTTGTAACTGGTTGTATTCCTCGATTTCATTGTCTTCATTTATTCTCGTGCTCATGTTGATCACCTCCGGTTGACCTCTAGCCTTGTAATTGTTTCATCGCTTCCATATGGGTCGATAGGTTGGAGGTCCATGATTAATAAAACAGTTGCTTAGCAGCATACAGGTTACGTGGTCACCAATTCTAGAACATAATAAACACCGTTTATTTACTATTCGTCACTAACAATTTTCATTCCTTTCACTTTTAAGGAATCGGACAGTGATAAAAATGGTTCACCACCTCCTCACAAGCGAAGTCGAACAACATACAGTGGCTCTGACTCTGGCATTGTTTGGGTTCCCGGCAATCATAATGAAAAATCCAAAAAGCATCATACTTATAAATCTTCACCAGATGAACATAAACGTCATAAGAAAAAGCATAAAAGTCGTCATTCGTCTAAACACAGTTCTTCCCATCATAATTCATGGAATGGTTCCGACGATAACCATCACCGTCATAATCATCGTAATCGGGAGCTCGATCGTAGCAGTAGTCTGCCTCGTCCTTCTTCTCATCATCATCATGACAAGCATCGTCGCCGTCATCATCATAAAAAATATCGACAAGAGTCACCTGATTCCAAAAATCACCGCTTCCATTTACATCATAAACACTACAAACAATCTCATAGTCATGAAAATGGATACAGGTAAAAAAGAAAGAAATCCCAATGTTTAATCTGCTGCTTCTACATCAAACAATTATTTTTTGCATGCATTCTTACACTTATTGAACCTGTACTTCAATCTCTTTCTATCCTTAATACATATGATAAACACATTGTCTTGAATTGGCCTACCATATCTGCAAAGAAAAATTATTTTTTCAAATGACAATGCAAAATGAATTCATTAACAAAGATCAGTATTTGTCTATAACCTGGTGTGTATTGCTTATGAAGTCACCTCTCTATTTCTTCATTATCCAAGCTTGTTTTTCTTTAGTTATTTTATATTTTCTCACTTTTGTATTTAAATTAGGTCTAATAATCCAAACATAAAAATGTACAGTTATGTTCTTCTTTTTTCTCTTCTATAAACCATCATGTTATCGACGAATGACGATTACACAACCAATTCATCCATATGATATAACATTGCATACATTATTTAAGCCTAAAAAAATTGAAGAAGAAAACAAAAGAGAAAGACGGAGATGCATTGTAATTTATTATTTCCTAAAATCCAACCAAATTTTAAATGAGGATTTTACTGCTCCATTAATTAACGTTCTGTATTATTGTCTTTAATGTTATTAATTCTTTTTTTTTACTTGTTTACTTTAAAGTGATGTCGACTACGCTTTTTCACTGTGTTTTTTTTTCTGTACGTAGCTATAAAAGTTTTCAAAGAAGAATTTTGTTTTGGGTCTCTAGTCTGTTTGATTGTTTGTTTGTTTGTTGAAGAAAAACCATTGTAGAAATTGATAATCTCATAAACAACAAAATCTGTTGAAAGAAAAGTTCATAATCAATGAGAGAGCCTGTTTCAAATATCCATTTGACCTTAATACGGCTGAGAGTGGGAAGAGTCAGCTCTCCTTCTCAAAATGCTCTCACGTGGTCACGTGCATACAACCACTGCCATGGAAATCCTACTCACTGCCTTCTCGTGGCAGAGGTGTTGTTTACGAAATTGAGATGACGAAAAGCGAATATCTGGCGCTTTAATCTAGTTGGTGGATACGGAGGATCCACCTGGGAGGGGGAGTTGGAAAACCCTGATTCCAAATCAATGGTGCACATGGGTTGCAGTATCCTGAGGGAACAAAAGGCATATGAACCTATTGTTGGTCACTGGCTACCATGGGACTGCATCACCTTACGTTGTTCCACTGCCTTGTGGATCAGACCTTTAGGTCGAAGACTCGAAGAGTAGCCCCCTAAGGAAACCACGTGCGTTGATTTGGGTGTGTGGGTATTATCCCAGCCGTCACACAAATCGAATGATTTATGTGACTGATATCTGTTTTGTGCCTCCTTGTATCAATGTTTATGCGTTTAAATGAATACATTTGGTTCAATTCTCCATTACTGCGTTAGTACGACAAAATGAAACTGATAAGTTGAATAGAAAAGCAGCTGAATTAATTTGGTCGCAGTGATTATTAGAAAGACTAAGTACTGAGAATATAGTTCAAAGCAAAACTTTGTGGAAAGGTATGTATTCATAATTACTGGGACTCTAGATCTATGGCATGACAGATTGAATTTATTTGCGCCATTGTGACTGATTCTGAGACATGTCACACAACATCCCTAACCAATTATCGCACGGTTGTCTTCATCAAACAACGTGGCTCACATTAAAAATTTGTGATTTCAGTGACATATAAAGGGAGTCGTTTTAAAGGGACATTTCAGCGTTTAACTAGCTGCATGCGTAGAATGGTTCAGCTACTCATGTTTGAAAACTTGACAAGAATGAAAATTGTACATAGGATTGAAATGATTTATTCTGGTAGCGTACTTACATTGCCAGTACCATACATTTAGATCCTTCAGAATATAATCAAGCCTGACACCGCTGCTAGTTCCCGGTAATGTAGAGAGACGGTTAAAGACCGTCATTCAACTTAATTTGCTTTTGTACATAGCTTTCATTATGCATATAGTACCTTAAGAACTTCTCTTGCAAACAATTCTACAAATCCTTGCTGTCCTTACTGTTAGTTTATCGAATAAATCTGGGCTAATATTTTGTGTGGAGATGTCCGAACATCTATGAAAATTTATTGTAGCACAGATCAGAAGAGAATTTATTATATTTTAAATCAGACACCATTTGAACTAAAACCTGTAAATTAGCTCCCACACCACTGTCATTGGGTTGAATTTGGTGAGTGAATTTTCGATCATTATGATGATACAGAATGCTTATCGATAGATAAAATTCAATGATACTATACGAACGAGTAAAAACAGTCCATGAGAATGAATTATTGATGTAAGCAGCCATATAATTCCAGATTGAAGACAAGACCAGGAAATAGACTTTTCCTAATAGGACTTAAACTTAGCCTTTGCATTTCAAAAATTCATTAGATAGCCTTCATCTGCTTAAGTAACCATAGCAACTTGACTGCTTCAATTTTAGTGAGAATCCAAAGAGTTCGACCAATATGTCCTTTCTTTCTAAACCTCATTGATTTCTATTATTACATAGTGCTCAAACCGAAGCAGTAACTGTAACATTTCCGTTAGCTCTATGATAATGTTTATCTCAACTTTTGATAGGTTATCAACAGTTTGTTCTGTATGTTAATGTTACTGACTTAAGTCAGTCTTCACAGAACTCCTTATATCAATTGTCCTTGGTTTACATTAACCACTATTGCTTACGTTCGTAATTCATATGAAACCTACTTTGACACCTCTTTGTTCCCAGATCCAATCGTAATGAATCATCACAACTCTAATAGGTATTTTTAACCAAATAAGCATTTTTAGCAATTTCAACTGTTAGAATCCATAGAAATACAGTACATATGCATACATTAGCGTATAATGATGGTAATAAACGATCTTAAATATGTATTGACACTTATAGTCTATTCGGATTGATATTCATGTAAGCTAAGTGTGGAATTTTTTGGTTTACATGATGAATGAATCATCAATAAAGGGTTGTTAAATTAAAATGGAGACACACCAACTATGACATGAGTAATGAAAATAAAAAAGTACACATAAGGACAACATATTTTATACACATCGTTCCCTTTAGCATCTTTGTTCTTGCTCTCATCAAGACTTTATATTTATTTACCCGATGTGAAAAGGACAGAATATGACCCGGTAGTAAGTGAAGGTCAACGGAAGGCCAAAAAATAATTATTGCATGTATATGTTTGGTTGATGAATTTTAATCATTATTCCTTTATGCTTTGTAAAGAGTGTTGTGCAAAACCTTGAATACGTCAATGGATCCCTATTTATGTTGGTGAGTGTCGATCTCTTACTATGTTTGTTAATTGCCAATACCAAACTTATTGGTTCAAATCATTACATTATCCAATTTATGCTCTAGAAAACGATGATGGCTTTGATAAACCAAAATAACCGTGCATTTTGTTTCCCAGTTATCTATAAGCAAAATGTTTAGAGTGTGTAAACCAGCCACCGGAGTTATGGTTACAAAGACTCATTTTACTGTTTTAATAAATTTTTAATTAATTATTCCTCTTTACATACTTTATACTGTCCTGATTTGTCCTCTCATTGAGAAAGCACATGATCACAAATGAGATCCAAACAGTGAATCCAAGACTAGTTGTAGTTTTCCTATGATTCTCTATAGTGACTATCGGAAAGAATAGTGTTAATTTGTTTGTATTGTTACCTTAATATCGGCATTGTCGAAATTACCACTGCTGGGGAAGAATTCACCATCAGGGCAAAATTATTATCATATGTTCTCCAGTGTGTGAATCAAATGTAGACTACACTTAATTGTTTTGAAATAATAAAGCTAGAGAACGATTATTAACTTGATAGATTTTTATTCTCTTAGTTGGGTCGTTTGATCGTGGAGATTTCGTCGTTCTTCTGAACGACATCATCAACACAACCTGCAGGTAGAAGTGAAGTGTTCGAATTTCTCCACATTTAGTTCACAGCTTGTCATGTAGATTTCGATGTTGATTGGTTCTTGCTGACCGAAAATCTTCAGGACAAGCTGTGAACCACATGTGGAGAAATTCGAACATTTCAATTCTACTTGAAGTTTGTGCCGATGATGTCGTTCAGAAGAACGATGAAAGCTCCATGACCAAACAGTTCAGTTCAGAGAACTAAACTCTATCGAAATCATCCAGCTGAGCTACAAATCTTCTCCACCATCTCAACGATTATTAACTAAAACTTCTGTATTGTGGCGCAATATTACTGGTATACACTTAATACTCACTGATTCAATGTCATCTACAGACCACTTTATCTGTACAACTCATTTTTATGACAATATTAACCTAACTTTTATGGATGAGCGTTTTATAATAGATTGTTGTATGATCAGATACTGATTTGATATTTGCTTACCTTAAACTTCTCTTAGAATCAGCATATTCTTTACTGGTATTCTATGGACAATAATAGTAACCGATATTATCAATAGTATTTTTCTCATTTGTTTTCCAAGCACTATTACAAGGTCAAGGACATGCATATGTATAGTTAGATAAAGTAAGAAACATCCAAATGATGACTAGTTTGTTGTGTTTATATGACTACAAAGAACGTTTGATTCTTATTGATGAATAATTCTGATTGACGTTTTCTGTTAGTGGAGTACATGCATATCTAGAGTGAAACCATCATCACGCAGTATCTTAAATGGATTGAATTTGGAAATGGGCACCTACCAAATGGTTATAATGGTAAAGTCCTTGTTATCTAATTATCTCTGCTCCTCAGTAATACTCCAACTCAGATTAATTTGGGTTAAATAGCTTCTACAGAACACCAATATAAAGATCCATTTCTCTATACAAATCGCTTGCTCGTATGAATTCATTCAATAACAATGCGTTTAATGTATCATAAATAAATTCAATGGGTCATTATTCTGGTAGTCAAGGGTTATATTATTAATTAATTCAACGTGATAATCCGTTCATTCTAATAATCGATTTAATTTTAACAAATTTGTTAATT